CGGGAATGGACTTACCATTTGTATTATTTCAGCCTGTGCTCTTTCACTATCAGTCCCATTTGCCAATCTTTTTTTTCTAATCTAGAGAAATCAGAACCGACCGCGCGGTTGTTGGGACAGATCTAAAGCTCGTATTATTTAATACAGCAATAAATTAAAGAAGTCGCAATATACGGTACACGAGCTCGCGAGAGAAGGAAGCATTCAATCCACAAGAAACCATGCACACAATACAGAATTACCTTTGTCCACAGCAAAGAATATATATATATACCAAAAATCCACTTCTAGACGTCTGAATGAGATCAACGTTCCAACGTTTCCAGACAGCTATGGCCAAAATTGGGCGCATAATAATGAAAACATCTTACCTTCCTAAACTGGTTCTACATTAGCATAATGACAGGCCACAGACACTGCTTAATTGGTCTTAACGGGAAAATAATTGGTCACGATTCTAATGACTTTTGCCGCAGCTGTAGGGACCAATAAGAGGAGGCGTCTACTGCACACTATCCCTGTCACTGTTCAGCCATGACATCTGCGTGACCCAAGTTCCATAAGAAACACTTCTACGACTGTCTCGCTGAGCTAGCTTCGACGAAAATTGGTAATCTCGTTACCTTTATAAGGCAACCAAAATGGTTTGATTATTTTAACCTCAACTCAACTCAACTCACGACACGAAATCATCCTGTCTGATCTGAAACCTCGTTTGGTATCGAAAGACTTAGTGAAGGCTCTACGAATTCTGACGGATCTACCGATATTGTCCATCGTCAGTTTACTCAGCCGTATAAGTTTTTCGGGGATACCACATTCAGACATGGCGGCCTTGACGCTTTTCTCTTCGAGCTAACGAAGGCTGCTTTAAAATCGAATCAGCGAAAAGTTAATGTGGGTTAATCCTTTTCTCTAGAGTATTTTGCACAATTTGGCGCATTGTGAATATCTAGTCAAAAGAAGGGCCTACCGATTCTAAGTCGATACTGACAGGATCCAAACTGTTCGTAGACGATGGGCTTTAGTCTTTTACACAATTTACTTTCCGGGACCATATACGCAATATTGAGTAGACTCATGTCACGGTAATTAATGCAGACTGTGATATCTTCTTCCGTATTTGGATTTAGCAGAGACCTAGCACACTCAGGAGTGACTGCGTTTTTTCTTAGCCAACTCGACCTCTGCATACTCATACATTCTGATATCTATTCTTTTCTGACCGAAAGTGGGCACCACTACCCTCTTCAGCTCTCTTACCATAAATCTTGCATTATTCACTAAAAGTTTTGTGGTGATCCAAAAACTTGGCCCAGGCGGTCCCTCTCAAATTAACTTATTTTTAGATAATTCATGCCATCAAACTATTTTGTTGTGCCGACCACATTAGCGTCGAGTGGTGTAGAGATTCTAATGAGTTGATTCGGCGCAGTTCACAGCAACTCGGTCTGACGTTTGGAACGACTCTGCATATTTTACGTCGAAATCGTAAATTGAAAGTGTAAAATATACAGGAAGAACTGAAGCTGCTCGATCTTCCTAAGCAATATCTATGAAATCTTGAAAAGTTCCAAGAAAATCCAAAGTTTTCGAAACAAATTTAGTTCAGCGATGGGCTCATTTCTGTCTCAATGGGTTAAAAAACCAGCAAAATTGGGACGAAGAGCAACCTGAAGAGATTCAAAAGCTGCCAATTCATCCAGAAAAAACAACGACCGTTAATTACCGAATATTTGATGGCTGAAATAGAAGCTCGTGATCTCGACGACATTTTGTTTAAACAAGACGGTGCCACTTCTCACACATCGTATGGATTTATTGAGAGACCATCTTCGATGTGCAGTTAATTTCATGTTTTGAGCCGGTCGATTCGGCCATCAGGTTCGTGTGATATCTCATCGTTCGACTTCTTTTTCAGTGGAGATTCACAACTTCCAGCAGAACATAACGCATGTCATTCGCCGGTTACCTGTTGAAATGCTCAAACGAGTAATCGAAAGATGAATTCAACCATCTCGACCATCTGATACATAGCCGCGGCCAACATTTGAAAGCGATAATCTTGAAAAAAAAAAAAAACAAAGAAAGCTCTTTCGAATGATGATAATAAACATTATCCATTAAATTTTAATTTTCTATTTTTCTTCTTGGGAACCTCGAAATGGACCGCACTTTATTTAGAAGGATCCATGGCTAAATTGGTGTGGTCACATTGCATGTAGCAACAACCCTGCCAACTGCTATTGACCTGGCTGGTGAAGGCCGATCTTGGCAGGTATTTTGCAGAGGAAAGAGTTTTGCCCAATTCGTGTGCAGAATTTCGCAATTTTCAGGGACTTCACTATGCCCCACAGTGATTTCACATACAGCCAAGAGTTTGTTTGAGACTTCCCTACATTTTATTGCCACTTTTGAAATACCAATGTACTCAATGAAGAGAGTTAATGGCAACTTGACTGTCAGAATATATAATGTGGAGACTGAGATATTGTCCTGGAGTTAAGTAACCAAGAAACGGTTCCCATTATTGCTGTTAGTTCAACAATCGAATATTTAAGCTTTAAAAAGGTGCTATTGACCTAAAATATTTCTGAGTGACTTGGGTATTTCGCAGGTATTAATTTTAAGCACAGCAACTGAAGAACATTTCAAGCTTTTTTTTGATTAAAAACAAAATGTTATGAGCTTAAATTGTCATTGTTGGAGTATTTACATATCAAAACTACGAGCTTCACAAGCATTCAGAGGCAAATTGTGAATACCAAAACACTGACTCACTTCCAGCGATGACTTTCTAATTCCTCCGCACCAAATTGAATCGCTCTAATGTGCATATGTTCATGTTTAAGTGATTTCCTTGGGTCGTTGTTGATGGAAAACAAAATTTAACAAATGGAAGGGAATAAAGGAAGGAAGAATAGAAGGAAAAGACACCAGAGCACGTGCTTTGAGCACATTTTGCGAATTGCTCTGTGTACACTTTTTAATTTGCATATTTGTATTTGTATGCACAAAATCTATATTTGACCGGATACGTGACCCTGGCGTAGAGCAACAAAAATAGTAAAATTTTATAAATTTTTCGATGGTTGATTGAATTAAGTTTTATTTGGGTAATATTGGGTTCTAATTCTTTAGATGCTTACTTTGTTGCCTTGTTGTTGTCTTTAGTATCAATCGGAGTCTTCTATTCCACACATTTTGTGAAACGTTTAAGCTTTAGCCGACCAACGGAATGTCCATAAACTCCGATATCCCTTTCCTGAGAAAGCCTCTGATAAGCTACCTTACCCTTATTACCATCGGAACACACGATTCTGGATTGAGGTTCTTTCGATTCAAAGGGTACTGTGGTACCATCCTCACCACTGTCCGTGTCCGTTCTTTGAATTTTTAGACAAACAAAAGTCTTGTCTAAGATATTTAGTAATACAAAATTTCCAACACAACTCCATTCCAGAAGACACCAGAGCCATTTAGAAAACAAGTTAAACTTTGTCAGCATCTCTACGGATCTACAAGCAAGCGAGGTCAACCGAAGATGAACGCAGCATTCTTAAAGGCACAATAAATAGCCAGAAAGCTTTTCAATCGTAATCTTTAACGAAGAAATATCGATGAAACCACGGCCAGCGCTATTTCCATTAACTTGTCTTTCGTGCCGGTTTGTTGATTAATAGAGAGCTTAAAAGCTCAAGAAATTTTTTCAATATTTCACTAGAGAAGAACTACTCCAACAGCTGTTAAGGCGATTACATAATATTATGTCCGGAAATGTATTTAGGAAAAGTAGAAATGTGTCGTCTCCAGGTTAAGCGCCCGTCTAGATGGCTTCATTACTTACTTACTTCACTGGCGTAGACACCCCAAAAGCGATTATAGCCGAGCTAACAACAGCGCCATTCGTTTCTTCTTTTCGCTATTTGGCGCCATTCATTCCATGGAAGGGGAGGCCTTCTTCTTCCTCTCCTTTCACCGGCGGGTACTGCATCGAAAACCTTCAGAGCTAGAGTATTCTTATACATCCGGTCCACATAGACAGCGCAGCCCCTGTTTCTTGACGCAAATCTTTCCTTCGAAAACTCCTAACGCCGATTCATCAGCCGTTGTGATCGGTCACGCCACTGAGATTCCAATCGCCGTGCATGCTTCCATCCAACCTTATTTTACAAAGAAGCTGATGCACGCATGGGTACCGCCGCTTTGTCGGGAAGTGGAACGTCTTTTCCATCGTCCTCGATTGTGATTTCATGTTCACCTTTCTGGTGTTTCCTTCATAAAATCTCCATACTCTGGACATCCGTCCGCTCCGGTCTTGAAAGTTCAAAATTACTCCGTCAAGCAGCAGTTAAACTGTTAACAGTGGATTTCAAGGACTTGACCATGGCGGTTGCACTTGAGTAGGCTAAGTGTGCTCCCAGGCTTAGCCGAGCTATGTGTTTTCGATCAATTCGCTCCTTCCTTCTTTTACTGGCGTAGACACCGTGTTATTCGTTTCTTTTTTTTCGCTGTTTGGCGCCAATTGGAGATACCGTAAGAAGCCAGAAGCTTCCCTCTCTGGTATTTCCAACGGAGTGGAGGTCTTCCACTTCCTGCAGGGTACTGCATCGAATAGTTTCAAAGCTGGCTCGCTTTCTTATTCTCTTTCATCCACGCTTGCCTTTACCTTTAGAGTTTGCCGCATCGTAAATGAAAGCACGCCTCAATCTTCTGACAACTGAGCTCCCGCAAAGGTAGTGCTTCTGGGTTTCGTGCTCTTCAGTGCAGTTTCTGCATTCTCTGCTCAAGAGTTAGATATCTCGTCAATACTCTTACAAGAATACTAAATTCCCTTTTGCTTAGAGCCAGTAACAGTTTACTCTGTCTGCAATTCACACCGCCCTACATTGGAAATGTTCCAGAACCGTAAGTGCTGCGAAGGCAAAGCCAATGCGATCACTTCGTCCGCCTAATTACTATGACTTTATAATAAATTTGTTTTCTTCTTTCCATTTTAGGCGACATTTTTATTCTAGTCTTCAGCATGGACTCTCGTGAATCCTTCGAGGAAGTGGTGCGATTACGTGAGAATATACTGGAGACCAAATGGGCGGCACTTAATCCTGGTTCCGGTATGAAGAAGAAAAGTTTACCGAAAATTCCAATGGTTATTGCGGGAAATAAATGTGATAAAGAACCCAAGTGAGTGCGACTAATTAATCGCTAAATTTCCTCCTAATTAAGTCACCTTCTATTTACCATTCTAGAAAAGTCCAACTGGATGAAGTGATGGGCTACATAGCCGGCCAAGACAATTGTTGCGTCTTCGTCGAATGTTCGGCGCGACAAAATTTCCGTATCGATGACTTATTCTATGCTCTTTTCATGGTATCGAATTTACCCTTGGAGATGGCACCCAATCATCATCGGCGGGTAGTGTCTGTCTTCGGTGCGCCATCGCCACTGCCGCCGCACACAACTATTGGGGGGTCGAAGAAGAATGCGCTCTCGATTAAGCGACGTTTCAGTGATGCCTGCGGAGTGGTAGCACCGAATGCGAGGCGACCAAGCATACGAACTGATTTGAATTTGATGCGTTCCAAGACGATGGCCATGAACGAAGGCGATGGAGCGGGTGTGGCGCGAAGGAATATTTGTGTTTTAATGTAAGCTTTCGTTATAAATAACTACGTGTAATACATACATACATACATATATACAATATGAATTAAAAAAATAAATAACTTTTTTCATAGATTTATAACTAACATAAATACACATATAAATATATACATATACATAGTACTTATACAAGTTGAGCGATGATTTCAGTATGTGATACAATCATAGAGCGTTCTAGTTAAACCCATTGCACTTTAGTATATAAATATGTAATATGGCAATATACAATATAATACAATACATACATACATATATATATATATATATATGTATATAAAATATTGGAAAATACATGCATATGTACGAGTATATTAACGCAGATTATAACATTCTTTCGTATGCGTATAGATAAGTTTGTTACATAATTCTGTTATACGCCTACTAAAGGCTTATGGCACTGCTGCGTCTGTGGTGAATCATCCCTTCGCCGATTTCATAATTTAAGTAAATTTAACTTAAAAAAAAATAATAAAAAATAATCATTTGAATCCCATTCAAAATGAACTTATTTTGGAAAACAAAATATGTAATAAAAATATATATTTTTTTTTTCATATACACATGTATGAAACAACAATAATTATATATAATATTATACACCGTTTGACTTAAGTGTGGGGAGTTTAAGACGTCACAAAAATAATATCTTAAAGATAGTCGATTTATTAAAAGAATATCAGGCGGATTTAAAGTTTTTTGTTAGCATAATATCGAATTAAAAAAAATAATTTAAATGAAAAAAAATAAAAGTTAAATTTTCTAACTGTGGTCGCACCTCTGAGTGTATTTCGAACATGAAAATTAAAGGCTCCTCGTAAAAAAACCGTTCGGAGACGGCTTAGTATAAGCTGTAGGTCCCTCCATTTTGTTCGAAAAACATCAAGACGCAAAACCACAAATTGGAGCAGGAGCTCGGCCGAGAATCGCTTCAGCGGTTACAAAGCACTATCTCTTAGATAAAAACCGAATGAACTTTTTACTTGACCTAATATATATATATATATATAATATCGAATCGGTACAAAAATTCTGCGCACTTCGGCATCCATTGGCACCAATCCTTCCCTCTAGTTCCTTTTGCATTTATTATTATTATTTTAGACATTTCTTAATATTATATAATTATTCGGCTCTAATTGGAAAAAAATTGTAGGGCTTAAAAAAATAACTCTTGTTGAAACCACATATTGACCACATCAAAATCATTCGATTTCCGTGGAAAAAATTGGGTTTTCACATCACGAGTTGCGTGCATTACTTGCATTCACTGCTGGACCAGTTTAATTTGCAATAAAATACGGCCCAATTATGCCTTCAGTCCAAAATCTACACAAAACACTGACACGTTGTGGAACCATTTTTCATTCGACAACCAAATGTGTGTTCTCAGACTCCAAAAATGGAAATTTTGGCGATTAACCAACCCAACCATCAAGGTGAAAATGTGTTTCATCGCTTAGGTTAATTTCACTCGAAAAATCAGCATCCATTTTTTAATGCCTAATAATTCATTCAACCAGATCTTTGCGCTGCACATGGTCGGTCATTGGGCTTCAGTTGTTGTGTTATTTGAATTTTGTAAGGGTGGACAGATCTACTTGAAATTTGATATTCTTGTTCGCGACAAGCAACGCGTGAGCGCCTCGATATTGTCATTTGAACGACTTATTGGACGACCAGCATGTTTGGTACATCCAACGGTTTCTACTTCCTAGAATTTTTCACTTTCGTCACAGTTGACGAGGTTGAAATACTATTCCGAAAATATTTTGTATGAAAATCTCGATATTCGGCCGTCGAGCTTATGCTGTATGCCCTCAATAGTTTGACCAATTCCAACTTTAAGATCTTGAATCGACATTCGCCTGCTGGCGTAGAACTTATTTTTCACGTGGCCACAAAAGAAGAAATCGCAAGGTATTAAGTCACAAGATCTCTGTGTTGAATCGCGATCGCCTCTTCGAGAGATAACAAGGTCCGCAAACTTTTCCTTAAAAAGATTTTTGGTTACGTTGCTGGTGTGGCACTTAGCGCCGTTTTGTTGAAAGTAAACGTTGTCCAGTTTATTACAATTCAATGCCGTCCAAAAAAATACCTGTATCTACTCTCTATAGCGCAATCCGAAAACAATTTCGAAAAAGTGAGATCCAATAATCCCGTCGAACAATAAACCGCACCAAACGGTTACACGTTAAGGAGGGAGAGGCTGTTCAACAATAAATCTTGGGTGTTCCGAGCTCCAGATGCGACAGTTTTGCTTACTGACGTGATCATCGTGTTGAAAGATGATTTTTCAATAAAATTCCGTCACATTTTCATGCATTTCATGGACCCAATCAGCAAACGCACAACATTGTTGATGATCGGCCGGCTAGAGTTCTTGCGTTAACTGAAGTTTATAAGCCTTAAGATCGAAGTTTTTGTCCCAAATACGGTGTAATGAAGTTTGTGGAATACCCAATTCCAAAGAGCGATGAGAAATGGACAAATCTGGGGTTTCTTCAACACTTGGGCTACGCAACAATATACTCAGTTGTTCTTGAGCGACGTGCAGTTGTTTAATTCTTCACATCACTATCTCGTCCCAAGAACTCCATTTTTCCCATCAATCGGTATAGCGGTACGGCCATCGTCACGATCATGCCGACCGAAAAATGTTATATTTTACGAACGTCTCTGCCAGGTTTTCACCACTTTTAAAGTGAATTTTGATCATTTCAATGCTTTGTTAATGCGTTTAGTGTTCCATTTTTACTGCTGATGTTTTTTTCACCAGTCAAATGTCAGAAAATTACAGCTTTGCAGTTTCAAAAGTGGCATCTACTGGAATAGCAGGCTATTCAAAATCATGCCACTTATTGGAGGACCCTTTATTTCTGCCATATCTTAGCAATTGGCATAAATCTGTAGATATTCTTTGGTTAGAGCACACATTTTTCCAGATTAATTTACTTAAAATTATATAAAAATCTGCTTAATTTATTTTAATTTATTTTTTTTTTCAATTTCATATCAAAATTAAGCTCAAACTGACGGTAAAAGCGTTAAAAAGAAACAAGTAAAAAATTAAAATCGGTTTTTTTTTTTACTAAAGCTTTTTTCATATGACTTAAACCACATTTTCAAACATATATATTTTTTTTAAATATATAAATTTAAATATGCTATAGTACATATGAAATAAATATCTTTGTTAAAAAGCTTTAAAATTAATACTATTAAATATAAATAATTTTTTTAATAAAATCAAGCGAAGCTAAGCTTTGCTCTCAAATAATAATCAAAATGAAAATGTTAAATTTTTAAATATCAAAATAAAAAAAAACAAAAAGTATGTAAAAGTAAATCTAAAATACATACAAACATACAAACATACATAAAAATTTATCCAATAAAATTATCAATCAACAAGAGTATTCTAAAAGAAAAGAAAATACACAAAATACCACTGCAAACACACCAACTACTGTACCAACAAAATGCTTCAATTTACCAAATAGGAAAAAATCAAAAAAAAAAACAAACAATTTGAAAACAGAAAATAAGTTTGAAAGTAAAAAACAATACAAAATAATAAAAATAATCATATCTACAAAAACCCACCAATATTTGTTTATACATAAATATATAATATTTATAATACATATGTATACATTTCTTTAGCCATATACACTTATGTATACATACATATGTATGTACATACGTGCATATAAATCTATATAAATTGACTTCCACTCTGTACTAAATGTGGTTTCACGCCAAACTAAAATTTCAAACAATATTTAATACAATTAATAACTCTGTCTGTCTACACAAAAATCTGCATATGCACATACATAAATATATGTACATATGTGGTTAACTAAATACTTACATACCTAGGTATATATTTACAAGGCATAAATGCTTGTTTACAATAAATATATATCTATATATACATACATTCACAAATAATCTCTGAGCCATAATAATTACTTATACATATGCATATACACACAGCCAGACATACATACACACATACACACACACACACACAGTATCCTAATGGAATTCATAAATTTATAAGAATAATCTGTTACATAACTCAATGAAGGGCTTTAAAATGTAGTTACGTATATACTATATACACATACAAACATACATAAATATATTATACATATAATAACAATAATAAAAGTTAAATAATTAATTATAATAACAACTTACGAGATAAATATTGTTTTTAAGAGTTAAAATTATAATTTCAATTAAACCGATTAAATACCGAAGTTTCAACATTTTTATAGGTAAATTGCAATTTAAAATGGTGAGTTATGCGAGTACATACGTATATACATAGTATAATTATTGTTTCACTCATATCTGCACTTAAGTACGTACAGTATGCCAATTAATTGTTTGCAAAATGAAAACAAAATCAAACAAAGTCATTTTTCAACTTGATTTTTAATTAATTTTTATTTTTTTTATCAACTAAAATAATTTTCTTTAACTACAACTTCTTTAAATAATATTAGTCTGAGTAATCTTAAGATAAAATCACAAAATTCAAGGCATAAAAGTAAAAGAGATATAAAAATTCAAAAGACAGCAAATATTATGGTGTCAATTAATTATTATTGCGAATATAATTAAGGGGGAACCTGGTTTAGAGGGTCGAAAAAATCAATTTTTTGAAACTTATCTCATTCGATTAGAAATATATTCAGAAATATTTTCACAAAATCTCAGTGTCAAATTCCTAATCGTTCCGCAGAAATGGTCTCTCTGAGAGACAATGCGCTCAGGAGACTGATAAGCGGGCGCGAGAACTTTGAACGCGGTTTTCTCAAAACAGTGTTTTTCTGTTTTGTGCACACAATTAAAAAAGTTGTTTTTGTCGCATTTTCATAAGTGATACCTTTTCTTACAGCTAATAGTGTAGGTTTCTATGTGAAACTAAAAAATCACAATAATAATTTTTTTTTTTAACTTTTTTCAATAAATTTTCTTAAAATTTCTTCAG